GTGAGGAGGTGCGGGGAGAGGGGGGATAAGACGACGGTGGCCGGAATCAAGCCAACGGCGACGGAGACGTGTGGCTGCGGGTCGTTGGTGGGTGGCGAGGAGGTGAGAGGGGAAGAGATGAACTGGAGGAGATGGAGGGGAAGATGTCGCGTGGCCGCGTGGGGATGGAGGCGTGTGCTGTAACGAGGAGAGGAGGGCGGCGGCGGCTGTCCAGGGAGGGAGTTGGTATTCTTTTTGCTCTCAATGAAGAATCACGTCGCGATCGCCCTAGCTCTGCTGGACCGGCCCACGGTTACTTTCAGCTAAGGCCTGTTTTTGCTCCTGCGTGCGTGTGTGGACGGCAGGAAAAGGCCCGTATAAGCCCGTTAGCGTGAAAGCATTGCTTGGTGGAATACGGAGTTTTTTCTTCCTACGGTAGCTTTTTTTTTATAAACATCCCTCTTTTATTAGCATCTGATAATAGTTAATTACTAGCACATATGCCCGTACGTTGCAACGGGAGAATTAATTGATGTGTCCACCGAAATAACCATGCTAATGGCCCAACAACATCTGGTGCCAGCGAAAATTCATATAAGTAGTACTACATTAAGAAGCATGCTATACATACAATACTTTTGGTGTGGTTTTTGTACGACAATTTTGATCTTAAAGAACCTGATTTTCAAAATTTTCATACAAAGCCATTATTTTTTAAGTTGAAGCAATGCTTGAAATTTGCATAAAGTCGTAAAAAAATCTTAATAAAAGGGTTTTGTTAAACGTATTTTGGGCCATCTCTTCGTATGCTTGAAGATCAGTAAAAGAATGTCTACGTCTAAGCCAAACGACCCTAGTTCATTGCATGCCAAAAAAATCGAACCCGAATGATGAACGGTACTTTTCTTTTCTGTTTTTATTCTTTACGTATGAAAAAACGGGAGTAAGAAACGTGAGAGAGAGAGAGAAAATCCATCCTATCATCCGGTGGTAGTTACCCCATATGTCTCATATACTACCATGTGGTACTATATATACTACTTTATCATTTTAAATATATTCATATACTATATTTAAGATATTTCAAAGCAAGTTACATGAAAAATTATATATGAACCCATAGTTTTTGTTATATTTATGAAATACGTACATATTTGTACGTAAAAAAGAGCATACTCAAAACATGATATATACTACCTAAAAATTAGTATATATACTACCTAATCATTGTTATATACTACATACTACACGTACATACTTTTAATTTTGACAGATACTACATACAACATACAAAATGCAAGTGGTGGTAACTACCACTGCTTGTAGGAAACATTTGTCCTATATATATATATATATATATATATATATATATATATATATATATATATATATATATATATATATATATAGGTATAGAAAAGAAAAGTACTAACTAAGTGTGCACTATAAACACAATTTTAAAAATTACTAACATGTAAGATAATATCATATTTAGAATCTACACATTTTCCTGAGCGATTTTCATATATAAAAGGCTAGATTTGGAGTTAGCGTTTGAAAGATAGGAATATTTCAAAAAATACTTGAATCTGTGGAAAAAAGAAGTTTAAAAAGTAGCTGGGCCAAGACAATATCATATTTAGAATCTACACATTTTTCTGATAGATTTTCATATATAACATGCTAAATTTGGAGTTAGCGTTTAAAAGATATGAATATTTCAAATAATATTTGGATCTGCGGAAAAAATGGTAGAAAAAATGAGCTGGGCCGAAGCCGGGGAAAGGCAGAAAAATGGGACACAGCTGGGGATCGAACCCAGGTCTCCCGGCTGGGAGAGTTTTGCCCTAGCCAGTCGGGTTATTGATAATGTGAGGGCCTAGCGGTACATGAACGCAACCAGTGGCCACCTAATAAAAACGAAACGTTTTTTGCCACTTATGGGTGGCATTGGTGGGTAATTCTTGCCAATTCCGAGGGTAGTTTTTATGACGTACGACAGAAACCCAATTCTCTTTATTATTAGGTAAAAGATATTATAAAAAAGCATGTGATAATAGTTACATCTTTCACCGAGAAAGAGATAATCTCTGGTGGAGCATCATCCATCCACACACATGAAGGGGCTCTCATGGCCATTCTAGCCGGCTCATAGGCTACTCCATTTACTATCCTATTACAATGCTCAAAAACAGGACGCGGAAACTCATAAGCTAGGTTATAGCAATCATCAAAAATAGTCGCCGCGGTCTCCATGGATCGATCGCCATTCTTCATTGTCTCCACCACTTCCAGATTGTCCAGAATTCATTATCAATTTGTTACACCCCCACCATTTGGGCCAGAGAAAGGCCCCGTCTTAACGCCATAGCTTCGGCGGATAGAGCATCTGCACAGACATCAATTTTTCAGTTGGCTGCAGCTATAAAGTTTATCGATCAATCACGCATCATCGTTCCCGCTGCACCCGATAGAAGATCCTAAAGCTACATCCACATTTAGCTTGATGAACCTAGGAGGTGGTCAGCCATCCCTCCACCTTAATGGTTGCCTTTGGATTGAAAGAAGAAACAAAAATTGTTGTTGAAGCCTTAACAGAAGACACAGTCCTTCCTTCTTTCCCGCCAAAGATACCAAGCATCGATAGCTATTATCTCATGAATATTGTTCTGGCCTATCAGTCCAAATTCTCGAATCCAAGTCTGGATCAAGAAGTCAAGGACAGCTTGACCCACCCTAGCAGTGGTACAAGCCTTCTTAATGAAATCCCCAAGACCCAAACGGCGCCAAACTTCAGCAGCCTTTCTGCACTTAAAAAGGAGATGCATTATACGTCTCCAACGTATCTATAATTTTTTATTGTTCCATATTATTATATTATCTGTTTTGGATGTTTTATATGCATTAATATGTTATTTTATACATTTTTGGGACTAGCTTATTAACCTAGTGCCCAGTGCCAGTTTCTGTTTTTTTTCTTATTTTTGACTTTTACAGAAAAGGAATATCAAACGAAATCCAAACGGAATAAAACTTTACGGAGATTTTTCTTGGACCAGAAGAAACCCATGACACTTGGAGAGGAGGCCAGAAGACCTACGAGGCGGCCACGCGTCCCCCAGGCTTGTGGGCCCCTCGTAGACCGTCTAACCCTAATTCTTGCTCTATAAATACCCAAATATTCCATCTACATCAAAAGCGTCCATAAAAATACTTTTCCGCCGCCGCAAGCCTCTGTTCCCGTGAGATCCCATCTTGGGGCCTTTTCCGGCACTCGCCGGAGTTGGATTCGATCACGGAGGGCCTCTAAACCAACCTTGCTGCCCTTCCGATGATGTGTGAGTAGTTTACCATAGACCTACGAGTCCATAGCTAGTAGCAAGATGGCTTCTTCTCTCTCTTTGATCTTCAATACAATGTTCTCCTTGATGTTCTTGGAGATCTATTCGATGTAATCTTCTTTTGCGGTGCATTTGTTGAGATCCAATGAATTATGGATTTACGATCAGATTATCTATGAATATTATTTGAGTCTTATCTAAACTCTTTTATGCATGATTGAGATAGCTTTGTATTTTTCTCCGATCTATCGATTTTGTTTGGCCAACTAAATTGGTTTTTCTTGCAGTGGGAGAGGTGCCTTGTGATGGGTTCAATCTTGCGGTGTCCTCACCCAGTGAGAGAAGGGGTAGCGATGCACGTATTGTATTTTTGTCATTAAGGATAAAAAAGATGGGTTTTATACCATATTGCTGTTGGGAAATGTAGCATGCAATTTCAAAAAAAATTCCTACGCTCACGCAAGATCTATCTAGGAGATGCATAGCAACGAAGGGGGAGAGTGTGTCCACATACCCTCGTAGACCGAAAGCGGAAGCGTCAGCTAAACACGGTTGATGTAGTTGAACGTCTTCTCGATTCAACCGATCAAGCACCGAACGTACGACACCTCTGAGTTCTGCACACGTTCAGCTCGATGACGTCCCTCAAACTCTTGATCCAGTAGAGGTACGAAGCAGTAGATGACTTCCGTCAGCATGACGGCGTGGTGATGGTGATGGTGATGGTGATGTGATCCGCGCAGGGCTTTGCCTAAGCACTACAACAATATGACCGGAGGAGTAAACGGTGGAGGGGGGCACCACACACGGCTAAGAATGAATTGATGTGCTTAGAGGTGCCCCCGCCCCCGTATATAAAGGACGAAGAGGGGAGGAGGCCGGCCTAGGATGCGCCAAGTGGGGAGGAGTCCCACTTGGACTCCTAGTGGGATTCGGCCCCCTTTTCCTTCTACCGGAGGGGGAAAGGGGGAAGGAGAGGGAGAGGGAGAAGGAAAGGGGGGGCCACCCCCTTCCTTAGTCCAATTCGGCCTCCTCGCTTGTGGGGGCGCACCAGCCCCTTGTGGGCTGGTTAGCCTCCCTCCTATGGCCCATATGGCCCATATCTTCCACAGGGGGGTTCCGGTAACCCCTCCGGTACTCCGGTATGTACCCGATACACTCCGGAACCCTTCCGGTGTCTGAATACTACCTTCCAATATATCAATCTTACCTCTCGACCATTTCGAGACTCGTCATGTCTGTGATCTCATCCGGGACTCCGGACAACCTTCGGTCACCAAAACACATAACTCATATAATACATATCATCATTGAACGTTAAGCATGCTG